CCCCCCCCCAAAAAAAAAGTAGAGCGGTTTTCCGTGAAGAACCCTGGCTTGTACAAAATGTTTAGAATGAGAAAATGGATAAAGCTTGCTAAAAATAATTCTACCCTTGACTATGAGATGAATAAATTCATCACCTCCTCTGTTATTAAGGGTAAAACTGTCGTTTGGTTAAAGAAGTGTAATAACTACGCATTTCAAAACTATGCGCCTTTTTCATTGTGGAAATTTATTTTTGGACGTAATATTCACMCAGAACTTTTAAAATAATAATAATAATAATCTATAACACTGATGCACTTACGATGATGAGAACGGATGTAAATCCAATAGAAAATCCTTCATTCGTTTTTCGCAAATAATGATCGAGAATTGTAGACGATGTCGCCAATATGCTCAACAACAAACCACCTGAAAACGTTTCACAAGATAGAGCTTAAATATTCACGATAACATAAAACATTACTTTAGCTGAAAATTTTGCGGACAAAAGGATACCCCAAAAACGGGTTGAAGCTTGAATCTTTGCCAAATATTCAACGGTGGCCTTTCCGGGCTTTATATTTGGTATCCTGGCACCCATTTTATTTAAATACTCGGCAATTTCCTTTGGCATGTTGGCCTGAAACGAACATAATCACATATGTGAACATGAGGCTAAAACTGACATTCTACTCCCTCCGTCCCAAAATAAATGTCTATAATGAAAAAGGTGCACAATTTTAGAAATGTGTAGTTATTACACCTTTTTAATGAACTAAATGACAATTTTACACTTAAAATATAGGAAGTACTCCTTTCGTCCCGAAATGAAAGTGCACAATAGAAAAGGCACACAGTTTTAGGGATGTGCAATTATTACACTTTTTAGTTAAACTAAATGACAGTTTTACCCCTTCATAATGGACATAAATTTTCTCCGTCTCACAATTAAGGGCAGAATGGGAAAGTAGACAATTACTTTTGAAAATGAACATTTGTTTTGGGACAAACTAAAATAGAGACGTGGATACTTATTCTAGGACAGAGGGAATAATAAATTTCTTCATCTCATAATCAAGGGTAGAGTTGGAATATAGGCACTTATCTTATAAAGTGAACACTTATTTTCAGACAAACTAAAATAAATTTGTGGACACTTATTTTTGAAAGGAGGGAGTATATTTTTGTGCAATATCCCTTTTCTACCAACGATTTCAAGGGAAACAACGATTTTAGGAACCTAGGAACCACCCTTTTTGTGAGCTTTCATGATGAATAACATGATAAAAATTTCTAGATGAATATAACAAAATAGGTGGTTCTCGGGTTCCTAAATGATCCTACCCCTATGGCCACAGATATATTAGAAGATTGAAAAATCGGAAGTACTTACGATATCAAATATGTTGAAAAGGAACACGAAGAATGCATAGATTGTATAGTAGACCCATGGCGCAGCTCCAAGAGATGATTCCGGATTTAGAATCTCCCTCACATTATTCCAAAATCGTGAACTAAAAAAGCTGCCAACAATGCTTCATATTAGAATATGATAGCAAATAAGAGCAACCTCATTTACAACAAATACGTCAAAATGCAACGAAGTTTGTTTTACTTCCTACTTAGTGCAACGATGAATTTATTTTCTAAATTATGTACCCACCCTTCAATTCTTCCTATTTCATACCCATTTTGATCGGTAACCGGTAGATTTTGTGACTCTTGATTACGTGGATGCTAAGTTATCAAGTTATATTGAAATGACACATTTTTAGAGACAAATAATTATTACACTTTTTAGTAAACCAAATGACAACTTTACCCTTAATTAGTGTATCTATCTTATCAGCTCTTAAATAGTTGTGCATTCATTAAGGGCAGATTTGTAAATTTAGTTATTTATTTTTGTAAGTGCACACTTATTTTGGGACAAACATGAATCGAAATGTGGACACTTATTTTGAGACGGAGAGAATAATTCTTGATAAATTGGGAAAATACCACATAAAAAACAACTCAGGCCACATATGCTAAAAACATGTTTATAAGGTAAACAAATGGGTATGCAATAAAAAAATTGAACATTTGTAACACAAATTAAGAGAGAAATTTATTGTTACACTAAATAGGAACTCGGGCAAACTTCGCTACATTTGATGCACTTTTGCCATTGCAAATATATCACATAACCATAAAGATTTTGAAAATTTTAAAATGGCCACCAAAGCAACCGAACATGAAAGAGACCCCATCATAATCAATAAGTTACGGACCAAAGGGCCTTTGGCCTAACGGTATCGTAGCCCTTGGCCTTCTAGGAGGTCAGGGGTTCAAATCTCACCATAGGTGAGGAGGATGTGTGAGTTTATTTGTTGCATTTGCCGTATATAAATATTATATACTTCAAAAAAAAATCAATAAGTTACGGTATTTTTTTTTATGTTTTTAGGTGATTCGAAGATTCTTGAAAATAGTCTAAAGTAGGTCTTTTCATGCATTATTCTTTTAATATAAAATATGAAATAAAATAAACATAAATAATTAAATCGGCTGTTTGATCAAACCTTGCCACAATAGCAGGAAAACCCAATAGATAGCTGGTAGTGAGGACAGGCTGCATTCCAGATGGATTAATATTGAACGGGATATATTGCTCGACCTCCGTCACTGGGGAGCCTTCTCTGTCCATAACATAAGATTCAGAAAAATTATAATCGGTAGTAATCAAGTCAAAGATATTAAATCACACATCAAAAAAGTTAGTTTGTAACATTTTTAAGACATGGAAGAGACACAGAAAATTCATCAAAAAATTTCAAGATAATCATAAACATATATAGGGGCAAGTTCATGAGAACCGTACATATTTTGAGAACATGAGAACCTTCATGTTTTATTCATTATCAATATTGTGATAGTATTCATGATGAAAAACTATAATGCATAATATTCATGATGAAAAACGCATGGAATCATATATGATGAATAATGCATGGTATTCATGGTCCAACCTATGGCCTTTGTGTGTGCTTGAAGCATTTTGACTAAGGGAATGTTTGGTTGGTTTTTCATTAAGTCCTGTATGGGTAAAGTTGTTTGTGTACATTAATATGTCTGTGTATATTGCAAAGGTTTTTGTTTGGGAGGTTTTTTTTTTTTTCATAGATGGAAGGAACGAGCTTTTTAATTGGGAGGGACAGGTTTGGGGAAAAACTTGGCTTTCTGCATAAAGCTCCCCCCCCCCCTATGTATAGCTGAATGAATAGGCTGAGAGTCCCATTAAGCTCATTAAGCTGCTAACAAACATGCCCTAACTGTTTTTTCCTGCTCTTCTTGCAGAGTGGCTGAAATAAGAGTGAATTACGTTTTTCATCCCAGTGGTTTGTTAAAAATTGCGATTTCCATCCCTGTGGTTTAGAAATTGCGGTTTTCGTCCCTATGGTTTGTAATCCATTGCCATTTTCGTCCTTCAAATTTACAATTTTTTTTAAAGTATATAATATTTATATACGGCAAATGCAACAAATAAACTCACACACCCTCCTCACCTACGGTGAGGTTTGAACCCCTGACCTCCTATGAGGCCAAGGGATACGATAGGCCAAAGACCCTTTGGTAAATTTACAATTTATTGTTGTTTCGGTCCCTGTGGTTTACAGCTCTTTATTCTTTTGGTCCCTTGTACTTAAAGGTAGGAATTAGTCCACGAATGAAAATAGCAATAAATTGCAAACCATAGGAACGAAAATCACAATTTCTAAACCATAAGGACGAAAATGAAAATTATTAACAAACCACATGAGCAAAAATCGTAATTTACTCCTGAAATAATTACAGGAAACATCACCCTATGTCATGTTATGGTGAAGGTTATAATGATTATTTTGGGTTATACATCATGAATAATACATGAAATAGTTGGTTTCGAGGTTCTCAAAACATTTATGATGCTCATTTAAATGTATATAAACGTAAATACTAAAAATGATCCCCGTTAACAATGCATCCATTATTTGGAAATCACAGATATCGCTCACCTTGTAGAAGACGCAAGTTTAAAGCCATAGTATTGTAGCTTGATTTTTCTGCAACCCTGGGTTACAATAACTGCCCACATGGTAACAACAATGAAGACACCGGACACCGCAAATATATAAGGCCCCCATCCGACAGCACTTCCTGCACCAGAATAGAACAATAATATAATTATCGAACAAATCTGGATGCATCTGAATTAGTTGTTTGCGACTTTCAGAAGTCCTATCTCAAGCTTTTCACAAACCAACTTATGCAAAATCGATAGGTTGCAAGGTACAATGCTGGCCAGGGGGGATCCACAGCCATAATAGGGTGTCAACTGCCCCAGGCAAACCTAAAGAAAGTTTCCCCCACCACCAAAAATCTTGGATCCACCACTGATGCCAGCAGTATGACACAAGATACTGGTACTTCTTAATGCAAGCACACTTAAAGGTCCCAAAATTGCATTGTCAGGAGGCTCGTCTTCAGTTTTGAAGTTGTCAGAACTTGACCATTCAATTAAATCATGAAGGAATTATATGAGCCAAATTTAGTTGATTATGTGCAAGTTAGCTACTAAGAGACATGGAACAAAATTGTCACTTACCAAAAGGTCATTAGTCCCCAACGGTACCCGGGTTATCTGGTAGAGCACAACTCTCTTTGGAGGTCAATGGTTCAAGACTCACCAAATGTGAGGAGTGTGTGTATTTTTATATACTTCAGAACTATATGCTCACTGATTACAGAAATAATTTTAGTTCTAGTAATATGATAACTTCATTAAAGAGATTGTGAGAAGCCTATACTATGGCTAGTAGTAAGATTATACTAATACAAATTTTGGCATGAAAAATATGAAGGAAACCATCAAATGTTATGGTTATGGTAAGAGGGTTGGGTTCCGGTGAGAAGGATTGTTAAGGTGAGAAGCGTAAGAAGGGATCTCCACCCTTAGATCCACATTAGATAAGATGCACTAGATCAATCCCCATATCAAGCGTGAATCATGGGTGGGTTTGAGATCAAAGGTGATCAAAGGTCCAGATCCCTCCTTACACTTCTCACCTTAACTTCCCTTCTCATACAATCCTTCGCCTATGGTAAGATACATGAAATAATATATATATATATATATATGTGTGTGTGTGTGTGTGTATGTATACGTAGGAGTTTGAAATACAAACCATGTAAATGTTACAAACCAATCTCAACCATCCATCTAGCCTAATGTATATTTGGTTTTATGGACATCTCAATTGTTTCCTAATCTATAGCAATGATCATAATAAACAAACTCCATCATCTTCCATAAATATCTCAATCATAATGAATGAACCATGATCATCTTTCATAAATATCTCGATTGTTACCAAATACAAGGTTTGTATAGTTGTAACATTAAATGGTTTTTGAACTCCCTCCCTCCCTCCCTCTCTCTCTCTCTCTCTCTCTATATATATATATATATATACATATAGGGACCGGGTCAAATAAGAAGGTTAAATATCGTGAGAAGGTAAGTAGAGAAGGTTTAGGTTAGGTTCATATGTGAATCATTGAAAAAATCCCGAAAAAATCTATTTGAAGAATGAAGATGCATATATGAACCGACGTTACAGATTATTCATATGGGTTCACATATGCATCTTAAAATAAAAAATTTTAATGATTCACGTATGAACCAACCTTAACCTTCCCTTCTCACGATATTTACCCTTCTTATATATATATATATGTGTGTGTGTGTGTGTGTGTGTGTGTGTATATATAAGAGTGGGAAGGAGACAGCCGCAAATGAATCGAGCTCATAGAGGAAGAAGGAAATAAATAATGAACAAGAGAACTCAAAGAAACTATCAAGGTTCTAAATAGCGTGAAGCGTGGCATGGCAACGAGGTCAAGCCTCAAGCCTTGGAAGCTACGGCGAGGTCGCGGCGTTTTTAAGGCGTAATTTATGGCATCAAATCTCTATATCATATATAAAATTATATGCATAAACTATGTTTTCTACTATTACTCCATAAATCAATGATACTAAGCAATTTAAATTAAGTTATATATTAAAAACTAACAAATAAGACATTAAAAAGATGAGTAAAATCAAATATCATGTAACAAAAACCGTGCATTACGCCATGGCGTGCCTCGGGCATAACGTGGCGTGAGACACAAGCCCTGAGCCACGGCGTGCCGTGGCGGCTGTTGCGGCGAGCTTTTTCGAACATTGGAAACAATATACACATGCCATTGAGGCAATAGAGAGCTTGCACATTACAGACCTGAAAGCTGAGATAACATTTTGTGTAATGTCTCTATGTAGCCAGTCAAGATATTCACACATATCAGCAAAGATGATCCATGACCTGCATTGACAATCAGAGAGTTGAAAAGTGATATAACGCCATAAACTTATAGCAACAAGCCGACCCAAATAACAAATGAATTAACTAAAACCCTGTTGAGTTATTTGGCAGTCGATTACCAATGGCCCACAAGGGGTTCAAACTTCACGATAATAATCTATATGTGACAAGAAGTTACAAAAATGTCCTTATCAGTCCTGAACAGAAAAACCATCGTGCATTTGGTACACAGACAGGACTGGACGGGATGGGAGTGAGGTAGGCTGGTGAAAGAATTGTGCATGTTTTTTAGGGTTTTAATTTGACATGAGTAGTTTAGTAATTTATCAATCTTGTCTCATCTCCGCAATTTTTGTTCCACCTATTTTGGTGGGACAAAAATGCAGTCTTGTCCTGTCCCGTCCCGTCCCGGTCTAAGGGCTTGTTTGCTAGCAGCTTAATGGAACTCAGCTTATTCGGTCAGCTATACGTGATTGTGATTGTGATTGTGATTGTGATTGTTTGGTAGTGGCTTAATGATAAAGAAAATGACTTATTCAATAAGCCTTTTTTTGGGGGGGGGAGCATTATGCAGAAAGCCAAGCTTTTTCCAAACCCGCCCCTCCCAATCAAAAAACATGCTCCTTCCATCTATGAAGAACCCCTCCCAAACAAAAACCTTCCCAATCTATTCAGACAGATTAATTCACAAAGACAGCTTTATCCATATAGAACTTAATGAAAAATCAACCAAACAGCCCCTAAATGTCGCACCAAATGTGAGGCAACAAGTTTTTGTTTTGTCCTATTTCGTCCTGTCCTACGTAACAAACGCACCCTCAGAGATGCATGAAGCCAATCCACTACACTTCGATGGACCATTGCTTTGATACAATTTAGCAATAAGTTAGGCCAAATAATATCCTACTCAGCTAAAATCGTGGTAGAAAATTATTGGTAACCCGCTACCAAGGGATTATGATGGGCTTCACATTCATAATGGATGTAGGATAGGATGTTAGAAGCCATCATGTATGTACTGTTTTTGTCAGCAATCAACCAGAAAAACGGTGTACGCCATTTTAAAAGATCATCCTATATATGAGAAACAAATACTTTGGAGGTATAATTGGTAAATATTTTGCAACTAAATCCCATCTCTGTGTAACTTGTACTAGATTGGTCAACATGCAATCAGAAGTTGACGCAATAAGGCTATTCAAATAATTAAGCCCAAAGGAATATCCATCTCTTATAGCAATAGAACCATTCAATATATAAATAAGGTGTCGTTTGGTTCATTGGAATCCAGCGGAATTTGAAGGAATTGGAATGATCAATTCCATCGGCCAAATTCCATTCATGTGTTTGGTTCATTCTTTTGAGTTTTGTTAAGGAATCTGAATTCCATATATGGTGGAATGTAAATTCTTTGGGTTCTAGCAAGGAATTCCAATTCCTTCCATCCCATCTTTTAAGAAAAACTATTATGCTCCTATATTCATTCCATTAGCTTCCATCCTATCATGATGGTTGTCATCACCGCTGCCATCACCACCACCATCGCCACCACTACCAATGTCGCCTTCACCCCCACCACCACCGCCTTCACCACAGTCATCGCCACAACTAGTACTACCACCACCACTACTGCCTCCATCCCACCACCACTATTATATTCAACAAACCAAACAGACAGATTCAAATTTTTTTAACAGATTCCATTCCAATTCCTTCATATTTCAATTCCTTTCACATATTCCATTCTGTGAACTAAACGCCACCTAAGGGTAATATATGACACTAAATAAATTATCGAACTTACAATGTGATGATGGAACGTGATAATACTGCATGACAGTGGGTCCCATTTTCTATTTTCTTTGAACTGATTTATCCTTTCATCATGTCATATTATCAAGACACCTCATCAATTATGTTTATTGGATGCCATGTATTAGCACTACAAAACTGATATAGAAGTCGGGGAAATCATGAATCATGAGAAGGCTAGTCAACAATGTCAAAAGAACAACATGAACACCAGATAGACGTAGGCGTTAGACATTTTAGCAAAACAAGGTCAGAATAAACTCGAGACAACATCTTGACCAAAGTTCAAAAATAATACCAAAACCAGAGTCTGATATTTTATCGCAAATCCATGTCGTCGTCATTGCTCCACAGACCAACAACATTGTTGTCAACATGACATGCTTCACCCTGCAAGTAAAATAGTAGACCGAATCATATTTAGAATTAAGTGAATTCCAAGGCATAATGCTAGTAGTATAAAATATACTTCTTTATTACTTCCTTCGTCCCAAAATATGTCGACAATGAAAAAGACAGTTTTTAAAATGTCTGATTATTACACTTTTTAGTTGACTAAATGACAATTTTACCATTAATAATAGGAGTAATGAATTTCTCTATCTCATAATTAAGGATAGAATTGGAAAGTAGACTTACTTTAGAAAGTGGACACTTATTTTGGGGACAAACTAAATAGAAATGTAGACATTTAGGGCACGTTTGTTAGCAGCTCAATGGGACTCGCTGCTTATTCGGTCAGCTACGCATGACTGTTTGGTAATGACTTAATGATATAGAAATGGCTTATTCAATAAGCTTCTATGGGGGAGCTTTATGCAGAAAGCCAAGTTTTTCTCCAAACCTGCCCCTCCCAATTAATGAACATGCTCCTTGCGTCTATGATAAATACTCTCTCAAACAAAATCTTCCAATCTATCCACAAAGACAGCTTTATCCATTCAGGACTTAGTGGAAAACCAACCAAACAGGCCCTTTTTTTGGGACAGAGGGAGTATCACACATGTAACACAAGTAACAAAAACCATCGAAAAGAAGAGAGACAAAAGGATAGTTCTATGACTACATCAACTAGCGATAAGGACATTACCTTTGACTAGCATTTGCTGCATAAATTGAATATGAAAGTGAAAAATAAGAAATGATCAGTGCCTCTAAAATTGCAAAGCCAAGTGACATCCACCATCTGAAATAAAGCAAGAAATACATGGAACTATTAACTTTTTCTATAGAATAAAATAGTATAATGTTTGTCAAGGGTGATTAAACATACATATAACTCTTTATTTTCTCGTTAGCATCCAAGCCTTCTTTCCGCAGCTTGACCAAGGAAGGAACAACATAGCAAAGTACCTGATCCCATAATCACCCTAATTAGCTTACATCTAAAAATCAAGCTCAATGTCCATGGAAAGAACCACAACATCAACCATCAAAAAGAAATTACTTTAACTTGCATCAGTTCAAGAAGTTATATGGTAAACCAACAAAAGTAAATATAAGATGCAAACTCCAATTGAAGTTAGCACATATCCATGGGGCGAGAAGCTTTACCTGCATAACAATTGATGCACCAATTTGGGGACTGATTCCAAGTTGGAAGAGGGAAAGCTTAAGTTCAGGTGCAAGCTCACCAAGCTCCTCTGCCATTTAAGACAATGACTTTATTAGGATACGGGGAAAACGGAAAGAAAAGTGAGAAGAAACCCATTTGTTAATATAGAGCATCCTAAAAAAATATAATTTGCTTGTGGCACCATTAATCTCTTACATAGCTATCAAAAACTCATGTGAATATCTGAATTTAAATCATGGAAAGCAATTTAACTGAGAACAAAACAGTTCTAATCCTGGAAAATCTTTATCCTTAAACCAAGAGGAAAATGATAAATAAGAGGTCCACCCCACCCCTTACAACACCAAGCACCACAGCACCACCCCTAAACACCACTACCCTCAACCCCACCCACCGGCAACCACCCCCACTGACCACCAATCTCATCCACATCCACAGCCACCCACCACCCCCACCTGCTCCAGCTAGAGCAAGTTCTTGATCTTCTATATTCTCAAAAAGTATTTACTCGTGATCAAGAACATGCTATGGATCAAGGCAGAGGAACATCCAAACCCCACCCCCACCTAACACCCCCCCTAAGCACCACCATACTCAACACAACCCACCTCCCCTACCCTTTACCATCCCAAGCACCACAACCAAGTCACTACAAAGCAAACATAGATGAGAGAAACATGAAACAAGAATGAAATGGTGAATCCATGCATGATTAATCCTTGTGCAAAATAAATTTGGGCCTGGACAGGAGCAGACAACATACCAACTGACCCTGAGACGAAGCTAAGGTAGTTCTCTGGTACCAACCTTCTATCAAACCCAGGAAGAGGAATGAAATATCCTACTCGACTAATCACAAGTAATGCAGCAGTAATAAATAACCTCCTCCTTATCTCGCTCTTGAAAAAAGATTCAGCAGCTTTATTGATGACTGAACCCAGGCGTACAAAAATAAGGAATTTGTTTTCATATTTGGGGATATGCTGCAAATTCTCAGCATTATATGAACTAACTTCAAACTCATTTTCAGAAGTTTGCATGATAAGTTCGTGATTTAGAGACCCAGAAGATGCTGCCTGGATTCTCATATCACTTCTTCTGGGATGATTGTATATGAACTTTGATGAATTATGGTCTGCACTTGAACAAAAAGGTTTCTCTAAATTCACAAAATGACTTTTGTGATGTTCTAAATTATTCGCCTTGAGGGAACATCTTCTAGCACATGATATGCGCCATAAACGGAAACTATGAGCACGTCCGCCTGCCCATCAGAAAAAATTACAAATTACACCCATATAATGAATAGATGAAAAACAATTTGAAACAGAAATTTAACCTCCATAACAAGTCACTGAAGTGCAAAAAGTATAGCGTAGAAAAGAAAATTAAGCAATCATAATAATATATATGAAGTTGAATTACAGTTCTGTTTATTCTGCATGTGAGACATGAACATGCACATGGACAATTCCTTCCATACATGGAGATGGTTACCATTAGTCAATTTAAGTAATTAAATTATCATATACCAGCACCTTAACACCAAGTCCCCTCCAAAATATAGCTGCATAGTGCTAAGAACAAAGTTATGAAACAACACGTGAAAATGCATTGTTTATACTGTTGTCTCATATGTGAAACTCCAGAACTGTTATGTGTGTGGAAAAGAAGTCCTTAATGTTTCGTAGATGAAACAACACGGAATAAACACTGCATTTTCACACAGTGCCCAACACATGAACTGGTTCGTAAGTTTGTACTGAGTTATTGGATTTTAAATTTCAGTAGCGAACTCTTTTTCCCACCAATCAACTAATCTTCAAAATTTTGTGATGCTGAAACTACTCTTCTATTTCGGAAAAGCCAACTTCTTGATAACTTCTTCTTACGAGTTACGATACTGAAAACTTGATCTTCACTATATAAATTCGAACTCAATTAAAGCCTTTACTCAATATACGTCTCTATTCATCCAATTTACCTAAAACAAGTCCAATAAATTCAAGAACAAAACATAATTCGATTAAGAAATAGGAATTATCAAAATTACCTGAGAAGCGTGACCCTCGTTGTGGAGCAAAATAATAGGCGGACGAAGAATTAACGTTGCTAAACCACGGATTGATACTCTGCATTTGTAAATTCATTTTGAAATACTAAACCCTAGTCCTTATAGACACTTGTATTTTTACAAAGTGTCGTCAATTTCTGAACGACGGCTTACACCGGCATGACAACCGTAATCCGGCAAACCGGCGACGATAAAGATTACGAGCTCCGACTGGGGTTGCAGGGAAGTGGGACGTTAGTAGTAGTAATACCCTGGGTTTTTGCTTCGATAATAAAATTTTGGGGGTTTTAACAAGATTGTAGTATTTGTATTGTTGGTCCAATACTTCAGTTTTTCATAGTTTTGCCTCAAGTATTTATGAAGTTTCAATGGAACTACTTTCAATTGTTTGTGTAAATTTTTGAGGTAGCGTTTGGAACATGAAACAAAAACTCATTTGTCAAATGTTTGGCTTGACATGAAACAGGATAATAACTCACTGTTTCATCTTTGGTACGATATGGAAAAACGATAAGGACCGGGACATGATGGGATAACTAGAATTGTTCATGGATGGGACGGCCCGTTAGACCCGACACATCCGGCCCTTACAAATACATGCTTAGACAATCATTATCGAGAAAATGGGCGGATCCGGGTTTGTTCGTTAAAATTAGCGGACAGACATGAACAATGTAAAAATAATTATGGACAGGCTTGTCCAGCCCATTTATATTTTGTAATTAATATTTTTTACCATTAATTAAAATTATACAAGTATATTTTAAACTTAAATTATTAAAGTTATAGGATGTGACTCTTTGGTTGTTTCTTTACCGAGCTAACGGTGATTGTTTGATTGTTAAAGAATTATGGATGTTCTTGATCAAAACTTGCAAATGTTTGAAATTGGCAGTAGCATAATAGAGTCATAGAAATGTGAATATCAATGTTATACATAAAAAATAGGAATGCATTATTAATTTTATGGAAGTCTGAATATTGTTTTTCATTACTTTCTCCACTTGTTGAGATCCATATGTCACTTTAGTTGCTTAAATTTTTAACTGGAACAATGTTTTTCCTTTATTTTTTGGTTCCACATTTGTTAATTAATTGCTAGTAATCAAGTTTATATATTTATAAGAATTATACTTTTTAGGTCCGTTAGCCCGTGGGCACTCCCGGCCCGTTTATAGGGCGGGCAATGGCAAGTTGTCAACCCCGAAAAAAAAGTCTTAGGTTTACAATATTAGGTCCGTTGGACAAAAAAACACAAGTTAGGCTTGACCCGGGCCTAGCCCAAGCCTGCAAATGATCACCTCTAAGGATAACATAACACAAAAAAAAAGGTTTTTCTTGTTCGACCAAAATAGACGGGACAAGAAACTAAAATGTTATTGATATGTCATCCTTTGATATATAACCTTAATATGTTATTTGCTTTAATGGTTCACTACCACTATTGGTAGCCACCATCGACCAACGTCGTCCAACCCCACCTCCTCATCCACTATAACAACCTCTTCAACCACCGCCTCTCTCCAACTTCTGTTTTCAAGAAGAATGAGTGATTAATTGATGAATATCTTTAAAAAATAAAACGCGATTATCTCCTCAAAGTTGTGGTTTTTTTCTTGTTGATAAAAGACCCTAAACACATATAAAATGGGGCTACAAAACTTTTGGGGTTCTGCTAAAAAACACACATTTAACATGCTAAGAAACGGTCATGCAAATAACCAAGCTAACAAGAGATTCAAATTATTAAGAACAAAAAACAGGGACGGACCCAAGAATTTTTTTCAAACGGTGGCACTATTTGATTATAAGAAAAAACTATAGGGACAAAATTTCAAACGGTGACACAGTTTGACTATAATAAACAAATATACGGAATTTTTTTTAAACGGTTGCACCATTTGACTAAGAAAATGACACTAACATGATTCGAACTTGGGTCTGGGGTGAAATAAAAGTCTTGCATAACCAACTCTACCAAATAAAATTTGTTTTCATTGTAGTTTCAAAATACATACGGTGGCAGACAACATATTAATACGGTTACACATTTCACGAACCTAATTTTTTTTACCCTTTGACGGAGGAATAATATGGTGACACATGCCACCATATGCACCCCTATATGTCCGTCCATGACAAAAACATGATTAATCGTATTGATTAAATTAGAATTGTGCGAGTATAACTCTATATAATATTGTACTTAAATACATATATTAAGAACAAAATAAACCACAATCCTTCTAGATTTTTACAAACTTGGTATAGCATCTTTTATCTAGCTCTTGAAGCTAATAAGGCCACTCCTTGGGGAGAAATATCTTAGAATTTTCATTTGACGTCTTGTTGATCTTCTTGTTTTTAAATCCATCATGTTTCGTATCAATGTAGATGTCTAAAATAACATATCGATTTAGATGTTATGGAAGGATGAAAACTTTTCCAAATGAGTAACGTTCAAAATTTTTAAGAAATGTCCATACCTCGTGGCTTCTTCTGTGCGCTCAATGCATGGACGTTGAGGTTTAAAACTTGTACCACACGTGCCGGGAGGAGAATAGGAGCAAAAACTGCTAGATATCGCATTCAAATTCAAATAGTTATTCGTAAATAAATAGTATTTAACTTGAACAAAGATCGTCTGCTTCCGTCATTTGAAATATTTTAGACTATGTTTGGCAAATTAATTGAAAAACTGGCTATTAGATAACAAGGTAACTATTAGCTGATAAACTAGTTATATTTGGTAAAACTAGTTGATAAGCTAGCTTTAGTCGGTCAAAACTCAAATACAACAATTCTATAAATATTTTTGTAAATTCCTCAAAGATTAATGTTACATTTCTTCTATTTAATAATAATGAACTTCAATAATAAAATATTTAATTCAATTATTAATTAATTTTTTTAAAAGAAATTATCAATTAATTAAGATATGTATGTGTGACAAACTTCGTTTTTATTCATATTATGTGCAATGGTTATTTAAAATATCAATTAATGTTGTTTTTCTAAAACTCGTATTTTGTTACAAAAATCCACATCTATGGTTATATATATATATATATATATATATATATATATATATATATATATATATATATATATATATATATATATATATATATCATTCATAATCAAAGTTAAGTTCATTAATTAACATATTATATTGTTTAGTTTTTTTTGAGTTATTTTGTATTAATTAACACATTATATTATCAATTATTTGTTTTAATTATATTATGTAATATTATAATTGATTAATTTATTAACATTTCATTTTTGATCATTTTACATTTCTCAAGTAGCTTATTCTATCAGCTAGTGTTTTATCAAACATGATTGGTTCGGCTACCAAGTAATTTGCCAAATATGTCATAAAAATACTTTAAAGGGTGTTAAGTGTTCACAATTTCAAATTTATTTTATTGAAATAATTTCCTTACGTTAACATTTACTTTTATAATCATATTAGATAACAAATTATTTTGAGTAAATTACATTTTTTGTCCATACGATTTGTTAAAAATTGTGATTTTCGTCTTTATGATTTAGAAACTGCATTTTTCATCTCTATGGTTTGTAATTTATTACTATTTTTATTTTTATGATTTACAATTTATTATAATTTTGGTTCCTGCAGTTTACAGTTATGTACTATTTCAGTCCCTTGTACTTGAAGATATGAATTAATCCACAGAAGAAAATAACAATATATTGTAAACCATTGAGATGGAAATCACAGTTTCTAAACCACATGGACGAAAATCAAAACTATTATCGTCCATGTAGTTTGTTAAAAACTATGATTTTCGTTCATTTGGTCTAGAAATTGCAGTTTTCAACTACAGTTTGAATTCATTGTTATTTTCGACCTTATGCTTTACAAGTTATTATAGTTTCGGTTTTTATGGTTTATAATTCTTTACTATTTTGGTTATTTATACTTAAAGATAAAAATTAATCCAATGAAAAAATAGCAATAAATTGTAAACCATGGGAACAAAAATCATAGTTTCAAAACAATAAGGACGGAAATCATTTTTTTATTAACCTGAATATCCAACCCGCTATGCGAGCCGACTAATCCTAGGGCGACCACATGCGAAACACCGCATTTGAACCTCAATGACTAGAAGGGGATTTTTATTCCTTCTTCGATTTGAACCTGAGACCTCCAGACACTTTTGACCTTTGGAATTCAAGCTCAAACCAATCGAACATCACCCTTATGGTTAAATTAAAATTATTAACAAACCATAGGGATGGAAAACGTAACCGTACTCTTATGAAAATGAAAAAGAAATAGACAAAACCGTTCAAGATGTCCTAAAAAATATATTGATTCATGTTAATCAAGTCATCCAAATGATAATTTGGCACGTATAATATAATTGAATAAAATTAATTACCTGGTTTTTTGGTAATTTCACCATCCTTTTCTGTTGTAACGTGTGGAAGGAAAACTCCGGTGCCGCTTGATCTTCGACCAGACTGCAGAAATATTGCTTGCATTCCAGGTCCTCCAGCCATCGGATATCTGGGTTTTGAATGTGGCTTCAAACCATTATTTGAGTGCTAATAAAACAAACCAATTGTTAGTGATTTCGACAAATTCAGCATCCGAACAGTGACGGATCCAGATTTTCTTTTAAAAGGGTGCCACCATTTGATTATAAAAAACAAATACAGAGATACCGTGGTCTATTGATTAATTCATTGTTTTTCATATATTTGGTAATGTGTTCAAGTCTTTTATTGCAAAAAATTTCAGAAACATAATAAATTTGAAATTAAAAGCTAAAAACTAAGAAAATGAGGCTAACGAGATACGAAATCAGGTATAGGATGAAAGCAGGGATGGACCCAGAATTTTTTTTCATACGGTGGCACTGTTTGAATTTCAGGAAAATACGGTAGCACCTTCCAAAACAATACGGTAGCACCGTTAACAAACCTAAAATTTTTACCCTTCGGTGGCGAAATAATACGGTGGCACGTGCCACCACACCAGGTCCGCCCCTGGATGAAAGTAAAGTATTGCAAACCAAATTTACCAAGGGAACTTGAGTCTTTATTGTAGTTCAAAATATATACGGTGACACACAATAAATTAATATGGTGACATTTTTCACGGCCCTATAAATTTTTACATTACGAGGGAGAAACAAAACAGTCGCACACGCCAATATATGCTTTACACTAGGTCCATCCATGCATCCGACTGATGTTTTGAAGAGCTAAAGTGTCGATAAACTCATAATATAGCAAATAAGTCGTCTCCACCAAGATGCTAAATTCTCTTGAAAGCAAACTACAACGAAATTCATTTCAACTCAAATAAAACTAAAACTAAAAAAATTATATGGTAAATTAATAAATGTACGTTAAATATATAAAAATGTTTTAATATAGTACTGATTGGTTGGAAACGATTAGTGATTAGTGTTATTTTGATTAATAGTTTGAATTTGGTTGTAAAAATTTGATTATAAAATTATGAAATATTAAAATAATATAATAAATATTTATAAAATGAAGAATTTATGAATTTTTTTACAGATTTTAGTTTTTAGTTTTATAATTTATAAAAATTATGATATCTTTTGGTTGGAGATGATTCTTATTGTGGATGTCAGAAGAGAGATTATGCTTAAACTAGCTTGTTATTAGAATCTTCTGGAACCTTGTCATTCGGTATGTGTGTGTATACCTGTGACGGAAGCAAAGGAGATCGTCCGGCAGCCGATGACTTACGATCAGGCAGAGGCGGAGGAGCCGGCCGGTATCTACGTTTGTCATAACTCCGCCGCTGTTAATCAAATCAATAACAATCATACATATTAACCTGAGTTCTTCTTCAAATAATTTCTAAGAACAGAAAACGAGCAAAAATTTCGAAAACAACACATAACAAACCATTGATTTCAAATAACAATTCAAGCAAAATCAAAAAGAGGCGTTTACTTTTGAAGAGAAACGAAGATCGTCTTCTCGTTCTTCATATCTTCTATTGACGTCGTTAAGAATGCAAATCGGAAGCCATGACAATCCTTCATTATCGTTATCATCTTCAACGTCGACAGCTTTGTGTTCTTCGATAATCATAGTTTCGATCTGCAAAACTGCAACTGTGTGTGAAAAGAAAGGAGACAAGGAGGTGAAAGGAAGTGGTGGCCGGTGATTTATGGTGAAAGCGGGATGATGAAAATGGAGCAGGGGAATGCAGTTGTTGGAAGGATGCTCTAAATCTGCAACACTACTTAAAAGCACAAAAAAAAAAGCATTCCTTGATATAATATATAGAGAGAGTTTTTTTTGAGTTTCGACGAAAATGAAAGTTAAGATAAGAAGTATAGAAGGGATCTCCACTCTTGGATGCATATTAGTATGAGATGTATCGAGATGAGATACCTTGGATCAATAGGCGTATCAAGCATGCTTCATGAGTGGGTTTGAGATTAAAGGTGGTCAAGAGTTTAGATTCTTTCTTATGTTTCTCATTTTAACTCTTCTTCTCAAACAATCGTTTACCTATATATATATATATATATATATATATATGTAGAGTTGGGTTTACGTAAGACCAGTCTATTTTCGTGAGATTCGTAAAATCACCTTTTTACACTTGAAACTTCACAACAAAAGACTGGGAAGGTAAAAAAAAGCCGAACCTTTACAGTAAAAACATTCGTTTAATATATATATATATATATATATATATATATATATATATATAGTCATCTAATACTCCGATTGTTTTAAAGTTGGGTTGATTTGTATTATATATTTTATTTTTAATGGAATTTTGGTTGTAAATAAAACATTGAAAGTTGTTGAAGCTAAATTTAAATGGATAATTATAACTTTTAGAGCACTTTAATGTGCTCTTTAACTATTGTTTTCTCTAAAGCCACAAACCAAAAACAAAGTGCACCTCCAAACCAATCATGACGCATAATTTAAAAAGCAGCAGCCAAAAACCTAAATAAAACAAAAACGACCAAAATAAAGAAGCCCATAAATAAAGCTTAGAGCTGCAACCTGAACAAGACCAGAAGCCATAAGACCATGCTCCAACGAACCCACTTGAGACCTACATATCAGACGAAACTGAATTGAAACAAGACCATCCAAAACTCAAGCAGAAACCAGACAAACGAACAAACTCAGTATCTACGAAGACTGCAGCACCAATCCACCCACGATGTGTTAAAAAACCTATTGAACGGTTAACTATACATTGATACGACGAGACTAAATATCGAAGCCAAGTTGCATTGAGAAGGGGTCACATTAGAAAGTACCACTTTATTTCGATGACCCCAAATCACATAAGAATCGGCTCTTTAACTATTGTAGAGACCCAAAACATGAAAAAACTTCACTTCAATGTACTCCTTACATTCTGCTACCTACATTCAAACTACATGTCGGTGTGTGCAATTAACCGAAGAGTACAAGATAAGAAAAATAGGTTAAACAAACAAGGAAACACACGATATAGTACTCGTATAACACAATGTCGTGTGCATCCTCAACTGTTCGACCCAATTGACCCGGTAAATCCCACTCAAAAGTAGGATGGGGTATAAGATGTACGCAAACCTAACCTGCTACATGTTTTTTAACAGCAACAACTTAAATATACGCTATTGGAGCTGGAAATACCACGGCTATGGCACTAGACTTGCCCTTCAATGGATCCTCGATTATTTCCGAGAGACCACATTTTGATTCCTAAGAAACATATGTTGAAACATCACTAACACACAGTTTGCTTGTTATCTTAATGAGTTCATGTGTTTCCTCATTCAATGGTACATTGTCCTTCTTCATCCGCTCGGCTACGATTATCGGCATTTTACCGGCTTTGGCATATGTTCGAAGAAGCAAATTATATATTTCCGTACTTACGTGGCCCGCATTACGAAGAACCGTCAACAATTCCTCGGCACCCTCAACGTTACCATGCTCTTCAACCATTCCGTACACTTTTTCGACAATTTTTTCGTCAAAATCCCACTTCTTCACAGATCCTAAAGCTTTCTTGAAGCATTCTAAAGCTTTATTCATTTGATTCATATGTGAATAACCACATGTAAGAAGCTCCCATGAAGTGTAACTCGGCACAATTCCTTTCTCGACTATCCGTTTGGTAAAGAAATCTTCCGCCATTTTCATCTCGTTTCTGTTAACGTAAGCTGCAAGAATCAAATTCGGGATGCGGGAATCGCCGGTCGAAGAAACCGACTCCCATTCCGTATACAACTTCTTTGCTTCTTCGAGATCGTTAAGTTTTAGCAAAGACGATATCATGCAATTATATTCGGCATCATTTAACTTATGGAAGGTTGACTTCATCTTCTTCCATATCCGATGAACGTCTTCCTTTTTCCCGAGGCCCGTATAGAGACTGATAACCGAAGAATATGCAACACGAACTTTTCTTGAAACCATTTTCTCCATTTCCTTAAGACTCAAGAGCGCGTCTTCAAAACGAGAGTTCTTAATATACATACTCGTTAAAAGACTAAATGTTACCCAATCTGGATTCACCTTCGTCTTCTTAAGCTCGAGAAAAATCTTTTCTGCGGTTTCAGTGTCGCCCTGTGCGTTACATGCCGTTAACCATAGATTGTAAGTAACGATATCCGGTGAAGTGTTCATCTTTAACTCGTGAAGAATTTCCGGAACCTTCTGGAATTGCCCGTTTGAGATGTATAATGAGATCATATGGTTAAACGGAAGAGGGTATTTCAAGAAACCACATTCCGACATTTTTTTCGTCAAAGCTTCGGCTTTTGAAGCGTCTTTATGCTGAACATACGTGTGTAGAAGGGCTGTACAAGTTGGCTGACCTTTCATTCGATCTGGGAGATCTTCGAAGAATTTCTCGGCACTGTTTATACCACGTATTTTTGCGATTAAGTCTAAATGGACCGCGTAATCTCCTTCTAACAACTTGATATCGTGTTGCAAAGTCATCCATTCACAAACCTGCAGAAAAACCAATTTACGTTAGCTTTTTTTTGTTACAATCCCAAGTTCGGAGTGAAGGTACTAAAACTAAGAAGCCGTTTACCAAATGGTTACTCGGTAAGCGCTTCTTGAGTGTCACTTACCTTATGGGGTGAGCATCGGAAAGACCGAGAACCTTACCAGTAAGAGACATAACAAGAACCGAGAATCTTACCCGGTAAGTAAGGGAAAGACTCTTACCAACAATCCATTTTAATGGCCAAGAATGTTATCCGACAAGGCAGGGGTGGACCTGGTATATTGGATATGGTGGCACGGGCCACCACTTTGTTCCTCTGTCGTAATGTAAAAAATTACAGGGTCGAGAAAAGTGTCACTGTATCAATTTGTTGTGTGTCACCGTATATATTTTAAAACTACAACGAGAACACAAGTTTCCCTTGGTAGAGTTAGGTTGCAAGGCTTTTCTTCCACCCCAAACCTAAGTTTGAATCCCGTTAGTATCATTTTCTTGGTTTCAGCTTTTAATTTCAGATTTATTATGTTTCTGAAAAGAAATTGCAATAGAAGACTTGAACAAAAAACAATGAACCAACTAACTAACAAACGAATTATGATTTTGTGAAAAAGCCATATATTTGTTTTTTATAGTCAAATGGTGCTACCAGTTGAAAAAAGTTCTAGGTCTGTCTCTAGCCCATACCCTACTTTCTCAAGATTGACAAAACCCCCCAAAATATTCGTACTAAAAATAGTCTAGGAAGAATGGAATGTATGCAAACTTGTTCTCGTCCAACCAAAGGGTAGAGTAGTCTTTCATCCCTGTACTGAGTTTGAGCTCAATTAGGGGGTGTAAATGATGCATGTCGAGCTCAAATATCAATATACTCGACTCGAACTCAATAGTCATTTCTCAAGCTTGAACTCGACTCCGAAACTAGCGACTAGTTAAAAACTAAACTCGACTCGATTACAATTTTTTTAAACTCGAGCTCGAATCAAGCTCGAACTCCTACTCAAATCAAGCTCAAACTTGAACTTGAATCAAGCTCGCCTGTCGAAATTTATGAAATTTTAAGCTCTTTCTCTAATAAATTATAAAACTTAAAGATGTTCTCTTAAATTTTAAAAAACTAAAGGGATGCACCTCAAACTTAATTATCAAAAAGACAAAGTTACAAACTTCATTCACCTCCCTCTCTTTTTATAAAAACCCTTCAGCCTTCTTTTACCAACTCTGTTTCAATGTTGGACAACTTCACCAAGACTTCTATAGTTTCTAAAAATATAAGACATTTTTATGACATTATATTACACATGTTATATTAGAAAACTGATTATATTTTTAAAACTAATTATATATAAAAAATTGAGTATATTGGGTAGCTCGACACAACTTGTTAATATGTCGAATCGAGTTCGAGTTTAAGCCGAGCCTATTCCAATCGAGAGTTGACCGAGTTAATCTCAAGTAGCTCGTGAGTTGTCACGTATCATTTACCCCCCTAAGCTCAATGCTCGTTTATCACCTCACTATCGATCAATCCGTTCATAAACTCGAATTCAATAACATTAACTTTTTATTGTATGATTTATGAACATACGAACATGTTTGACTCGAGAAAATGTGCACTCGAGTGGCTAGGCTCAACTCGAAAAATTTAATCTAGAGTTTTCGAACAAGCCAACTCCAACATTTGTGTTAAGCTAAACACATTCTATTTTACATTTGAGATCGACTCGAGCTCGATGAACTCGATAAAAGCTCTCTATTTTGCGTTTGAGATCGACTCAAGCTCGAGTAGCTCGTTCAACTTGTTTGCATCCCTAGTTTCACATATGAAACAAACACTGCATTTTCACAAATGCTGGGACTGCAAATTTGTGCGAATAATAGGGTTTATAAACAAAAAGCAATATGTAATTTATGGAGAAGAGATGTTGGTACCTCTAGGGCATGTTTGTAACGTTTTAGCTTTCGAAGCTCTCGCACTATGCGATTAAGCTCGTACTTGCGAACCAGATGCCCTTCTTCCTTCCATTTCTTTATGGCGATCACGGCGCTGCGTTTTGTGTAAACCAGGCTTAGAAGCCTTCGACCTAAGGTATCCCTACCGCCACCGGCGTTTTTCCTTGTAGCGCTGGTGATTACAGCCGGATATGGAGCTTTTGAAACCTCTGCCACCGCTGACGTCGAGAGATATCGGACGGCGGAGAGTGATCTCCGAGCAAGACGAATCATCATTTCTACTTTCGGAGACGATAGTGTATTGCGGTCTTCCGGATTTCAAAAGGGGTGAACCGAAGGATAGATATTGGGCCGTCAGTTGGTATGAAAATGGGCTTAAGTAGGGCTTTTCAACTCCAAAGAAATATTTTAATTAAGGGCAAAATACGTAAAATAGCAACCTACTTTCACAAATTTTTTTATTATAGTATTTTACTTTCAGTTTTTCTTATTATAGCAATGTACTTTCAAAATATTTTTTATTAGGGCATTGTACTTTCAAAAATTTACCCATTATAACATTGGGTAACCTTTTAAATTAAATTTACCTATTATACCAGGTTTTTTGCCACCTCATCGTCCACGTAGGCTGTACACTTGTACGATAGTGCTGACATGACATTTTTTATTACAACATTGTACTTTCAAAATTACTTTATTATAAGATCACCAATTTCTATTACAATATTATACTTTTAATTTTAATATTTTTATCATTTAAACATTGTAAATTTAATGGCATAATGCACAAAAAATATAATATCATAAATTAAACATGTTTATAAAAGATCACTATTTCACGAATAAAAATATCCAAAAAAAACCATTCATTCATCGAGTTTATCATAAATTTCATGGCTTACTTTGTAATACCAAAACCTAAACAAGTAGACATATTTTCAACAAAAAAAACCATCCTATTCACATTCGTCTAACAATGTTATTTAATCAATTGGAACCGCCTTGTCACAACTACTACCTTCTCTATCTTTCTCAACGGTATTTTTTCGTAGATTGTTCAAAATTATCCTTTCACTTGGCCTCCTTTTTTTGGGATGAGCTTTGGTCGTGATTCCACTTTAGATGGTTCCTGTTCAAATTAGTGAACAAATTAGTATGCAATTGATATATAAAATTAGTATGAAACTCGAAGATTTTACATTACCTTTCTAACATCCCTTTGTGAACCCGTTCCGCCTCGTGCACCCCCTTTACTGCTTTGTCTATGAATATTAGTCCTAGACCTTCCTGGTGGTCTGACATCTTTCAATGGTGCATCTTTTTTCTCATTCTTGCATGATCTACTGTTATGACCTGCTTCATTACAATTGGTACATGTCATTCTTCTTCCTTGTCTTCCAATCTGTCTTGTTGAAGTCAATAATTTTTCCACTGCATCCCTTCTTCTTTTAAGTTTTGGCCTTCTAGGCAATCTTCTTGGCAACGGCGGCAAGGGGTTGATATGATTGGTTTTCGGCCACATTTTGATTCCGTTTAAAGGTCTTAAATAATGACAAGCACATACAAGAAAATTGGCTCTCCCAGTACTCCTAGATCGCTAATACCATATTACAATTAGGATTCAAAGGCCTGACAAGCACAGACAAGAAAATTGGCTCTCCCAGTACTCCCTTAGACTACGTCTACTTAATTAATTCTACATTTACGATAAAAGTCGTGGATAAAATATATTTGTACCTTTCAAGGTTGAACATACTCATAAGGGAAGGCAAAAACACATTTTTAATGCTCAAAGACAATATAATAGTATGTTATAACTAACCTCTTACTTCTAAAGATACATCAGACCCTGATGAACATTTTCAATATGATAGAAGAGCAATAAGATTAGCAAGAAAATACAATATCCGSGTGCAGGGCAAGTCAGACCTGTTGCTTGGTACCTGYTTTGTATCATTAATTACGTTACACAGGAATTTAGAATAMTAGTAAATTAAGGCATAAGGATGAGTGCGCCCTGTTACTGAATCCATTTGAGAGCATAAAATGAGAGACATCATACGGTTATTTCACTTAAGTGGGTAAAGGTGATCCCCAAACCTGTACTGAAGGCACATCCAATGTGCTCGGTTCTGGAACCCAATATGTTGGGGCAGAGGATGCCACCTGCTGGTTGGTTGGAGCAGAATACA